TTGTTTTGACTGATGAGTTCCCGGTGTGATAACTTTTTTTCCGAAATATTTTCTGTGTTCTTGAAAGTAGGTGAGTATATTTTCTATTAATTAAATTATTCACTGGAATTACGATTTTTATTGTGTACTATAAAAATAGTTATAAAAAAAGAGATTGGGGTGGCTCAATAACCACACTCGACCATTAGTATCGAGTGCGTGCCTGCTCCAGGCTTAAAACATGTTGAAGTCTTTTCACTTTAAATATTAAAAATAATACAATTATTTCTCATCGGAATTTTATATTATTGTTCATTATTCAACATCAATTCTAAATGCTAATTCTGTGAGGCTTAAAATTACAGTTCGCTTAAAACTAATTATAATTTGAGTATTGATTTTAAAAAATCATTTTACATTTTTGTAAACATTGTTGCGCACTTGGCTTTACTCTCCTTAAAATTCAGCGATTATATCAATAATGTTTTATTTTCTTATAAATGAAATCGTGCAAATAGCGGGTATTTCAGCCGGTATACTTTTAATGTATCAGTGCTGCACAGAGTATTTTATAACTAATTAATTATGCTAAATTAAGAACAAGTTTAATAAGTATTAGCGACTTCCATGGGCTTGTCTTACAGAGCAAATTTTTCAAAGGAATGCTTATGATTAGAAAATGATCCACTGAGTTCTTTCTAAAAAAAACCTGATATCCATATTTTGCCTTCTAAGCAGCCACCGCATTTTGCAATATATTCTAATTTAAAAATTAGAGAAAGGAAAAATAACATAATAATTATCCTATTACTTAATATTTTTTGCTTAAAAGCAACATATACAAAATTTAATACTTATGTCATGAATTTGTACGGTATATAATTAAGATTATTGCTTTAGCGTAAAAAAAAGTGCATTATTATTGCATTCAGTACATTATTAATGTATAAGGGTGGCGCGATAAAAATTGTGATTGATAAGGGGGGCGCCAGCTTTGAAAGTTTGAGAAGCACTGCCTTAGGTAGTATAAATATCGTGCACCTAAAATAAGACAACCACAATTTCGTTTTAAGATAGTAGTACAGTGAATACAGCAATTATATTAGGAACAGTTGTAGAGATTAAAGAGAAAGTTAAAAGTAAAAAAAAAAATTTTAAATAAGCTTTTATTTAAATGCTCTAAAAGGATAAAATAAACTTTTCTTTTAAAACTTTTTTTGCTGTCAACTTATAAAGTCGTTACACAATTTATGATATAAAAGCTCGTCGCGAGATTTAAGTATTTGTATTTACTTAGTTTGAAAATTTTAATAATTAAAATCAATCAGATCAAGTTATTTGATTTGCTTGTTTATTTACACAGGTAAATCTCGCGACAAGCTTTTATATCATAAATTGTGTAATGACTTTTATAAGTTGATAGTAAAAAAAGTTTTAAAAGAAAAGTTTATTTTTTTTCTTTTTAGAGCCTTTAAATAAAAACTTCGTTTTTAAAAAAGTTTTTTTACTTTTAATTTATTTTTTACTTTTTATATAGTTATCGCTGGACAGTGGTTACTCATTCTGTTAATCTCATTCAACGCATCATTGTTGCAAGGTCGTTTGCGGTCAATTTTGAACAGTCCAGCTAAGGGGTACTCAACCGTTTTTCCCACCAGGTCACATACATGTGTTAGATATTTTACTCGGAATACAAAAAAAGGATAATGGGAAGAGGGGATAAATACTGCAAGACCAAAACAACATTGGACAAAGCAAAATGAATTAAAACTCTTTTTTTCTGCTTTTACTATAATACTATATTAAAAACGAAAAAGACAATTTTCTTTTAAATCCATAATTTTAAACCAAATATTTTAAATTTTTGTGCAGAGAATTTGGATAATACTATTATATAACTGTTATACAAACGAAAAAATATTTTCGAGCGATTATATTTAAATGACGAAGTTTTTAAATCTTTTATTAAAAAATCTTTTTGAAAAATCTTAAGAAAAAAAGTTTCAGGCATTTCATTTTTAAAACTTCTAATTCTAAAAGAGAAAAGCCTGAACATTCTAAGTGCAGAATATCGATTCAATAACACGAAAATAAAATCATACCGAACAATTTAGAAATCATTTTCATAAAAACGCATAGATTTTGACTCATTTTAGAAAAAATTGTAAAAAATAGAAAATATCATTATGTTTTAAAAAGAGTTATATACCGTATCAAGGCGAAATAAATGATCTTTCCGATTAGGTAATTATTTTTTGTCTCAGTTTGATAGAAAGAATATACGATGGTTTTTAAAAACGGTCGAAAAATCTAAACTTCTTTAAGCTCAATCCGATAAGCTGCTGGGCAAAATAAAAAGCTAACAGGGGAACAAGGTTTTCAATTAATATCCTTTTAACTAATTGCAATTTCGGAATATAAATAGTCAAAACATGCACTGTTGTCCAAACTAAATTGCATACAAAATTTCAGTTATATCGGTTGAAGACATCAGCTTCAAAATTGAGTCGCAAGATTCCACCCGAAAAAATTACTTTAATTAATATCTACACTATTAAAACTCGAAGGTAAACAAACGTATGCGACTATAATACTAGGTGCATCTTCTCACGAACCGCACAACGCAAAAACTCGCAGAAGGTACCAAAAGAATGGAAATGATCTGAGGAATCCGTTTTGACCATTTATATTCCGAACGTGCAATTAGTTAAAAAGATATTAATTAAAAACCTTAAAAGCATAATTATTGCCATTTTTCCCGCCAGGCGGCGAAGTTCCAATTATCCGACCTTTTTTTTTTATCCCAGGCGTTTTTAAAACACGATCTAATTTTTTTTTGAGACTCAGACAAAAAATAATTACAGAATCGAAGAGATCATTTACTTTGCCACTATATGATACATACTTTATTTTACAAAATAATGATATTTTCTATTTTTTACAATTTTTTCTAAAAATAGTCAAAATCGCTACGTTTTTATGAAAATGATTTCTAAATCGTTCCGCTTGCATTTTTTTTCAAGTTAATGAAATAATACTCTACACTAATAAAATTCATGCTTTTCTCTTTTAGAATCAGTCATTTAAAAAATAAAGTGTCAAACACTTTTTTTTTTACGATTTTTCAATAAATACTCAAATTTTTATTTAAATACTTAATAATTTCTTTAATTATAAAAATAATCTCTCTAAAGTTTTTTTTCGTGTGTAAAACCATATTATGTGTAATCGGTACAAAAATTGAAAAAATTGCTTACAAATTATAATTTAAAAAAATTGTGTTTTTCGTTTTTTTCCCTTTTTGCAAGAAATATTTAAGCATTATTTTTGTTACATTTTTTGTTTGAAAATTACCGTTGTTTCTAATCGATATATCAAATTTGAAGGTATTAATTTAAAAATGAAGCCCGAAAAAAAAATTTAACTTTAACTTCAACGATTTTTTATTCCTTTTTTTCCGAAGATTTCGTGGATCGGTCGCTTAGAACGCTGGATTAGTAACTTTTGTACCCGGGTTTGAAACAACATCATCGCTTAGTTAGTTTTATTGATTTTTTAAAAAAATACTCAAAATTTTATTCGCGTATTTAATGACTTCGTTAGCAATTTTGTAATTGGAATAATTTATTTCGTCACAATACATTTTTTTTTCTTTTTTACAAAACAACGATATTTTATATATTTTATGATTTTTCTCAAATCGATGCGTTTATATGATAATGATTTTTAAAAACTCATACTTTGATCTTTTACAGTTAGTGATTTAAACATAAAATGTCGAAAACTTATTTTCGTGTTTCCTTTTTTGCGAGAAATATTTAAGCATTATTTTTGTTACATTTTTGCTTAAAAATTACCGTTGTTTGCAATCGATATATGAAATTTGAAGGCATTAACTTAAAAATGAAGACCGAAAAAATTTTTTAACTTTAACAATTAACGCAATGCGAAACTGAATATCTCTTCCTTTTATTTTAAAAGTCTTTTATTTCTTTTTTTCCGAAGATTTCGTGGATCGATCACTTAGAGCGCTGGATTAGTAACTTTTGTTCCAGGATTCGAATCAACATCATCGCTCAGTTTTTAGGATTTTTGAAAAAAAATGCTCAATATTTTATTCCGGCATTTAATAACTTCACCAGCAATTTTGTAATTGGAAAGAAAATTTATTTCGTCACGATACAGTATTTTTTTTTATTTTAGAAAACAACGATACTTAACATATTTTATGATTTCTTTTCTAAAATGAATCAATATCTATGTGTTTATATGAAAAGGATTTTTAAAAAACTCATACTTTTATCTTTTACAGTTAGTGATTTAAAAAAAAATGTCGAAAAGTTTTTTTTACGAATTTTTTTTGTGTGCAATAATTCATTACTTTGTGCCATTAGATGGCTGCACATATAAAGCTGCTTAAGAATCGGTGAATGTTCACTTACTCGAGAGCTCTGATAGCGAGAGGGGAAGGGAAAATTCCATGACAATATGTTATGCATTCAAAAATTTACGTGAAACTCCGGGGGGGTATAAACCTGTCTGACAAAGAAAAGAAGCGAACAAATTCAGAAAGATGGAATTTTAAGTTATACACTCGATAAAAGCCCGAGCAACGAAGGGCTAAGTGGAGGAGGGGAAGAAAGTCATTTTGAAAAAAAGTATTAGAAGTGCTGATTTTGTGAAGGAAAGGGAAAATTTACAAAAGTACAGAATGCCCGTGCAACGCCGGGCCATGCAGCTAATCTTTTTAATTAATTGCGATATTGGAATATAAATGGCCAAATCATGCAGTGTCATCCATACTAAACGTGTATACAAAATATCAGCTCAATCGGTTGAAGATATCAGCTTCAAAATTGAGTTGCAAGATTCCACCCAAACATTTTACATTGCAAGAAAAATAAGAGTTTGTAAAGTATATATAACGTACTTTGTACGTATACAGAATGTAAGTATTGTAAAATATCTCGTTGTACAAAGCAAACGAATTTCAAAAATATTTTACACGAAAAAATAACAATAGGAGGCGCGGGGTTTTGTGATCCCCGTACCTCTCACTTGCCAAGCGAGCTCTCTGCCATCTGAGCTACGCTCCCGGTTCGAATCTTTGTTATTGTAAACATACTCACCTTAACAACTGAACAAGATCCTTACAGTAACTAGGTTGTCAATTAAAAGTGTTACGGGGAAAACTAGAATCAAGTAAATAGATAGCATAGAATGTTTCAAAGTAAAAAGAAATAGCTTGATAGATCTGCCTTTCTTTTAGTGTTTCATCTAGAACAGTAAAAATATATAATATTTTATACGTATGCAGAGTGGAAGTATTGTAGACTATCCCATTGTAAAAATCAAACGAAATTCAAAAAATATTTTGCACGAAAAAATAATAATTAGAGGCGTGGGGTTTTGATCCCCGTACCTCTCCCATGCCAAGCGAGCGCTCTACCATCTGAGCTACGCCCCCGATCCACATTTTTTTATTGTAAACATGCTCACCTTAACACCTGAACAAGACAGTAGCTAGGTCGATATCGGAATATAAATCGTCAAAACATGCATTGCCATCCAAACTAAACGTGTATACAAAATTTCAGCTCTATCGGCTGAAGACTTCAGCTTCAAAATTGAGTTGCAAGACTCTGCCCGAACATTTTACATTGGAAGTTAAATAAAAGTTTGTAAAAATCAATAATATAGGCTTACTTTCAAACAATTTCAAATTGTTTTTGTATCAATGCATCCATTCACTTCTAAACTTGTTTTTCACCTTTCAGCTGTTCTCGACCGAGGTTTATGTACGACCGGAGAAGTATCATGTGCTGACAAAAAGCTATGCATAGAAAATAATTGGGTGTGCGATGGAGAAAAGGATTGCCAAGACGGATCGGATGAATTAGATTGCGGTGAGTTGTATCTGCTTTCTCTAGTTTTGAGAAAGGAAGGTGAATCGTCCATGGAAGATGAACCAATGCTTTACTCCAAGAATCATGGATTAGTGATTACTTTATTTGCACGCGGTATCGTGTTATTTTTAATTAAAAAGGTATTTTAATCTAATTAAAAATCAGGCGTTCATATTAAAATTAGAATAAAAATTTAATCTCTCTGAATTAAAAGGACGATAGAATTCCAAGTTTGTTTTCACCGTTCAAGATCTTTAGAGTAATCTAACACGTATGATAATTCTTCCTTTAAGCATTTATTTTGTAACATTAAAAATATAATTTTCGCTTGTAAGCGCAGCAAAAGGCTCAAAAGATGACACATAGACATAAAGAGAGATAAGTAGAGAGCTGCTTAAAAAGGAAATTATTTCAAGAATATCGCAGGTTCTTCATTCACTCTCACATCCCTAGGCTACGAGTATAACTTGGAAGTAAGGCCCGCGGGCCTTACAGTTTCCTTAAATATCCTCAAGGTGCATGACAACTCTTTCGTTGTCATCACGTGAGCCACATCTTTAATTAATTAAAATATCCCAACAACTTCTATTTTAAAAATAGTACAGAGTATACAATAATTATATTAAGAGTCGAAGCACAGATATTAGGCAAAACCCATTATACCAACTATATTTCAAACAATTTAAAATCGTATTTGTTTAAATGCACGTATTCGTTTCTAAACTTATGTTTCCGACTTTTATTCAAGATCCATGTTTGTACGGACAATTTCGGTGTAATGACAAAATGCAATGCATAAATTCCAGTTCATTGTGCAACAGAGAGAAGGATTGCTCAGACGGCTCAGACGAAAATTTTGCGGTAAGTTATTCTATATCCTTGCAATGAAATACCTGAAGAAACGCTCTCTCTATCTCTCTCTCTCTCTCTCCCAAAAATGTTACTTTAAATACGCGCTAAATAGTATTGTTTTTAATTTAACCTGTTATTTTTAAAATCGATGAAAAATTACTATTTGTTTAAAAAAATATAAAGATAAATTTATTCTTTGTATTAAAAATGCTGAAAGTTTTATTTCATCTTTCGAAGTCTATTGTCTGATCAAAAGAATATTTTAAAGTAATAATATATTCTTAGTTTTTTTCATACTTTTCACATTAGTGTATCTCGAATATTGTAAACTCCTTGTTATGTTAAAAAAGACGAATGAATAAAATCATCAATATGTTGACAAACTCAGTGTGTGTGATATCATTAACAAATAAGTAACCAAAAGTCCTATAGTCAAACCATAAAATACAACAGTTTAAAAGTGTCATGGCTTATAGTCTACAGAGTATCTCACCGCTTACATGCACATCTGGAAACAAGTTTTTTTTCGATGCAGAACTCATCCTCGAAACTATTTCTTCTACAGAGCAACTATAAACATGGCTCTCGATGTGCGAAGATGACGGCTATAGGGGCTAAAGCTCACCGGTTTTTGAATTGCCCATCAATTTCTTGTGACAATATGTCTGCCTAATGGTCAACTTCTATCCAATCTGTCAACCATTTTTGTCGACAACAGTTTTCTACCTTACTCTCCCTTATTCTGTCGGAAGGGACGAATACCAATATGGCCCATTTTGAAATGGCAAAATGTTTGCTGGATTTAGTCATCTGCATTATTTTAATGCAATTGAACGTCCTCTCTGAACTTGATAATATATTTCACACTTCCATATAAATATATTAGAAATTTTATAATTATAAAAAAACAGTAGTTATTCCTTAAAGAACTTCATTGCAGCAGGGTAATTTCCCCTATCATTGTCAGCCTACGTACAAGGAATTGAAATACCCCCAATTATCAAAAATGTTACACTATCTGTCCTCACTGTCCTGACATTCAACTTTCTCTTAATCTTATTTTTAATTGCCGTTCTATTTTGGTTAAACTATACAACAGGGATGTCAAATTCGTACCCCACAACGAGCATTTTTACGGCTCGGCCAGTGTGTTGGAACGCAATATTATACAATAAAATGTCAAAAATTCTCCCGAAATAGAAAAGATATATGCAAAGACGCGATGTCAAGTGTCAAGACGGAAATACCGAATTTGTCTTGCTCTTCTTTGTACGCTTATTATAATGCACTAGTCAAAATAAAGTTACGTTTTTTGAAATTATGATTTTTGTGGACTACCATAAGTTAAATCTTGGTTTTTTGGCCCCACTCAACCTTTGAGTTTGACACTCTTGCTATACAGCATAGACCTAAGCCTTATGGACCATCCACTGCTTTTTTCTCCGAAATTCTTTGACATTGCAAGGGCGGTTTGGAGGTATTCGGCACCATTTGCTTTTTCTGGTCTACTTGGACATAACAACCAAAATAAATTTCAAGTCAAATACCTGTGGAAGTTACCCATAAGATATTAAATATATTTCTGCATCCACATTTCAGATAAAGAGTTACAAATGCTCATTCAAATTCTTAGCATTTAGATAAATAAATTCAATAGATGAATTTCTCCACAAAAGTAGATAACTTTTAATTTACTTTACTTACTTTGTATGTACTGTAAGTAAGGCGACCATCCGTCCTTCCTTAGTGGGGACAGTCCTCATCTTATAGGTTCTGTCCTTCCTCGAAAATTGTCCTGCCATTTGTCCTCCTTTTCAATATTTTAAAACTGATTTGTTAATCTCTATTCAGAGATGGACCAAACATGTTCCCAATATGTCGAAGAATATATATATATATAGTCTGAAACAAATAACACAGGAAATAACAGTTTTCAATAGTGTTTTTGACTTCATCGCATGTAAATTGGGCAGATATAGAAAATTGTGTTGAGTTTTTATCGACAGAAATGCATGATATTAAAATCGATGACAATGGTGTGTTATGTGAAATGGTCTGCTTGAATAAATTAGAAGACTGAATGTTTATTTAAATTCTAATATTTAGGAACAATTGGTAAATCAGCTTTCTGAAATTGATAAAAAATGGTGGGAAATAAGTGTTCAAAAATGTGTGTGTGTAAACTTTTTCATATGATAATTCAGCTACTTTTGCTTGAATTTGCATTGTGCTGACCTGGACCTAATGTAGAAAGTGAAAGAGTTTTTTCACTTGGTAATGATTTTTGGACAAGTGTGAAATCAAGATTGAATGTTAATACTTGAGCTGTAGCACTTATTGTAAAGCTCAATATCTAAGAGATATTTTTTATCCGAAATTTCAGATGTATTAGAAAATGATATATTGACAAAAAAATATTCAATGGGAAAATGCTCGTTTCAGTAACAAATTAAAAGAAATGCAAGCATAATTAGCGTATTTTTATTTGAATTAATAAAATGCTCCGCACATTTACGTTGTAACTCTTTCTTAAATTTTTTGCACGCGTCCTCCTTGTCATTGTTAAAAAACTGGCCACCTTACTGTAAGTCAAAATTAACTTCGACGTTTTCTTAACTATCCTCATGGTATATCACAAATGTTTAATTATCCTTACTTGAGCCATATCTTACATTAATTAAAATATCGCACACATAAAATATCACGATACATCTCACATTAAAGGCATAGTACAGAGGATACTATAAGTATGTTAAGATCCGTTGCAAGTAGTCATACAAAACCAATAATACCAACAAACTTTCAAACAGATAAAAATCGCACTTGTTTAAATGAGCACATTCATTTTGTTTTCGAATATCGTTCAAGGTCCATGTCCGTTCCGAAAATTTCGGTGTCTTGATGGAAAGCATTGCATAAATGATACTATTGTATGCAACGGAGAGAAGGATTGCCCAGATGGCTCAGACGAAATAATGTGCGGTGAGTTATTTTTATTTCCCACGAGTGATACTCCTGAACAAATAACTTATTCCAGAAATTTTATTTAACTAAAAAGAAAAGTAATATTTATTTTTAAAATTTAAGCTTTATAATTTATTAAATTTGCTTAAAAACGTTTCGTCCTTCCATATAAAAATTTCTTTATATCCTTTTTTATATATTTTCAAATATGATCTAAGGTAATATTTGATATCTGTATTAGAAATTGTGAACTCTTCGGTTTCATTTAATCTTTCAGGGACTTTTTTTGATATTATAAAATATAAAAAACAGCTTCAAATTCGTTAATTCCTTATGTCCTTTTTCCATGCATGAATCTCAAATAACGTGATCTCTTTGTAAGGGGAAACGGTGAGAATTCGTGTTCTAAACTTTATCAATATAATTCTTAAAAAAATAACTGTATATTTGCAATATGTTACTTTCAGACCTTTATTTTCATTCCCTATACTGTAAATCTATTTTATTTTATTGTAGCTATAATATTTCCTTCTAATTTAATATTTAAAAAATTTATTGTTTTATATTTCCAGTAATGTTAAACATAAAATCAATTATCCCTTGCATTCTCATATTTAAAATAAGTACCGAAAAAACGCACAGCAATTCTGCTACCCTTTTCTGAAATTTTTCAAATACTTTCTTAGATGTAATTTATCGTTTTAGAACGAAACCGCTTGTGAACATTTTTTTCTTTCACTTTAAA